CCCTGACCTTTAATGCTGCTGGTGACAGGGAATCTAGCCCTCAATTCCTGAGACGAAGCTGGGTAAACTGAGGAACAGAGCCTCCTGACAGTAACTCAGCACAACAGCTGAAAATGCAATGCAGGAGTCCAGGGACTTAACTTCTTTTACTAACTCACCAGTCCTCATTTCCCTCCCAGAGCTGGGAAGAAAACCCAGGAGTCCTGGCTCCTAGCCCTCCTGCTCTGACCACCAGCCACAGGGAAAGAACCCAGGAATCTGGTTCCCAGCCACCCAGTTGCTATGCTCAGCGGGTACTACCTCCTGGTCTGCCCTGAGCCCTTGGAGTCCCGGGAACACCAGGACAGCCTGGGAGCCAGGGCTGAAGACTGTGTGTAGGGCAGAGCAGGGGGCACTTGGATCACACAGCAAGTGTGTGTGTGTGGGGGGGACAAAGTCCATCTTGTGTCCTTAAGAATTTTCTCTCCCCACCCCCGCCCCTGAGTCTGGCCACTGGCCCCCTTCCCTGGGCCATTCGCTTTAAGAACATGATAGAGTCGTGGTTGTCACCCTGGCTCTGAGAGGGGGGCTGGTGGGTTAGAGCTGGGGCTGCTGGGAGCCAGGATGCCTCTTCCCCACTCTGATTGTTCTTTCCTCATTTATTTATTTTTCTTTGTGACTCTTTGCAGGGATTATTACAGTTCTAGGGCTCACAAGCTCTAAGTGTTATTCATACTAATGAGGTGCTCTGGGGACCAGTTAATCGCACCAGTTATTTGCACGAGTTTGTGCAATGCTCTGCAGTGGGGTGATGCAGCACAATATTGGGTGGCTCATTTGCACTCATTAGTCTGCTCATTTTTTTCTAATCCAGTGTTTCCCAAATAGTACTCTGCAGAACCCTGGGGTTCCATGAAGTGAAAGGGTTCTGTGACAACCGGATCACTCCTTCCTGGAAAGACTGGGCAAGCCAGGTGGTTGCCCAAGGCCACTATTTTCAAGGGGCCAGCAACCGCCACAATCTTAGGGGAGGGCTGCCAGGTTTTGTTTTTTTTGCTGGAGTTTTCCCACTTTTTGGGGGAGGGGGGATCGACCAGTTTCCCCCAGCAGTTTTTTTTAAAGGGTTCTGTGGCCAAATAAAATTGGGAAACACTGCTCTAGTCCAGATAAGTGGAGCATGAAGGGGCGGGGGGGAGACAAGAGTCTGAGTTTGTGGCAGACTACTGAAATAGGATGCTATCCCTTTAAATCAGTGGTCACCAACCAGTAGATTGGGATCTACTGGTAGATCTTGGAGCCTCTGAGAGGTGATCCTGGTTTGGCCAAGAGGCTTTCAAGTGCTGGCACTTCAGCTGCTCTCCCTAGACTGCGGTGCATCTCCTGCCCTTTGCCATGGAGCTGTCCCCTCAGAAGCCTCCAGGCAGGGGAGGGTGAGGGCTCATGCCAAGGTACCCCCTCCCCCACCCTGTATCCTATCTCCACAGAGCAGACAGGGGGCACAACAGGACTTGGGATAGAGTTTGCTGGCTACTTTAAGGAATGGGCATGGGGTGAGCCTGCCTTAGCCCCCCTGCACCATCCCCCAAGAGCCACCTAAGATAAGCAGTACCCAGCTGGAGCCCACATCCCAAACTCCTACTCCAGTCATAAACTTCCTCCAGCACCTCAAGCCCCTGCCCCAGCCCTGGGCACCCCTGCATCCAAATGCTCTCCCAGAGCCTGCATCTAGAACCTCCTTGGGCACCCCATCTGCCTGCCCCAAGTTCAGCTCAGGGCCCCTCTTGCACACCAAATCCCTTAATCCATCAGAGCCTGCACCTCAACCTCTGCCCCTGCCTGGTGAAAGTGAGGGGGGTGGGAGAAGGAGGAAGGATGGAGTGAGAACGGGGAGGGGCCTCAGAAGGGGCACAAAGAAGGCAGGGAAAAGGGTGTTTGGGTTTGAGGTACATTGCACTTAAATTCAAATAGTGATCTCATGCTTTAAAAGGCTGGAGACCACTGCTTTAAAGGGTTCATCTGCCCTCTAGTGGTGCTGGCTGGGTTCTGCAACCTGCCTGCCCTAGCTCCAGGGTGGCAGCGTGCTTGGCCCTAAGCCTGTTTCCTGGCTGGTTAGTCAGTCATTGGAATTATGTGCTGCAGTGCAGGGTGAGGGGTCTTTGAACATGCAGCCACCCCATCCCAGAGGTGGCCACATCTCAGCACCAGGCAAGGGGTCCCTGTATAATCAGATTCCCTGCTCCAGAGGTGGCTACATCTCAGTGCCGTGTGAGGGGTCCCTGTGTGACCAGCTGCTCAGACCCAGAGGTGGCTGCATCTCAGTGCAAGGCAAGGGGGTATGCTCAACTACCTGGGTCCAGAGTGGGCTGCATGTCAGCACCCTTCAGTGACCCCTAGTTTTTGTGCTATGGGAAGGACTAAATATTTATTTTCTTCACAGCAGTCATGATTTCATAGACAGCACTCATATTCCCCCTTTAGCCATCTCTTTTCCAAGCTAAACAGTCCTGGTCTTATTAATCTGTCCTTGTAAAACAGCCATTCCACACCCCTCATCAATTTTGTTTCCCTTTTCTAAACCCTTTCTAATTCCAGTAGATCTATTTTGAACTGGGGCAACCACACTTGCCTGCAGCATTCACGATATGGATGTACCATGGATTCATGTGGAGACGTTATCTTGTCTATCCCTTTCTTAATTCCCAACACTGGTGTTAGCATTTTTGAGTGCTACCACACCCTGACTGGATGTTTCTGGAGAATGTTCAATGACTCCCAAGCTCTCAAGCGGAAACAGCTAATTTATCCCCATCATTTTATACATACTATTGGGATTATGTTTTCCAACATCCATGACTTTGCATTGATCAACATTGAATTTCATTTATAGCACCGTCACCCAGCCTTTTGAGATCCTTTTGAAGTTCTTCACTGTCTGTTCCCAACTTGACTTGCATGACCTGTTTTGTAGCAGCAGCAGATTTCATCCCCACACTGTTTATCCCTTTCTCCATATCATTTATGAATAGGTTGAAGAGGATTGGTCCTCATATGTACCCCTGCAGGACACCATTAGTTACCTCGTTCCATTCTGAAAACTATTTCTCCATATCCTTTGTTTCCTATATTTTAACCAGTTACCAATCCATGAGAGGACCTTCCCTCTTATCCTATGACAGCCTACTTTGCTTAAGAGCCTTTGGTGAGGGAACTTGTCAAAGGCTTTCTGGAAATCTAAGTACACTATATCCACTGGATCCTCCTTGTCCATGTTTGTTGACACCCCCTCCTCCCCAGAATTCCATTAGTGAGGCATGATTTCCCTTTACAGAAACCATGTTGACTTTTCCCCAACAAATTTTAGTAATTTTTGGGTCTGACAATTCTGATCTTTAGTTTCAATCAATTTGCCCAATACTGAAGTTAAACTTACCAGCCTATAGCTGCCAGGATCCTCGGGAGCTCTTTTAAGAAACTAGTGTCGCACTAGCTATCTGCCAGTCATTTGATACATAAGCTGATTTAAAGGATAGGTTACAAACCAAGGTTAGCAGTTCTGCAATTTCATATTTGAGTTGTTTTAGAACTCTTGCATGACTACCATCTGGTTCTGATAACTTGTTATTGTTTAGTTGATCAGTTTGTTCCAAAACCTCCTCTCATCACACTTAAAACTGGGACAGTTCCTCAGATTTGTCACCTAAAAAGAATGCCTCAGGTTTTCAGATGAAAAAACAAGTATTGTTTCTCAGCAATGGCTTTATTGAGTGGATTTTTAGCAGTTTGTCCATTAATCCCATGAATTGATTATTCCTGCTTCTGGTGTCTTTGGCTGGCCTTTCTTCAAATTCCTTTTTGGCTTTTCTCATATTTCTACACGAGCTGCCAGAGTTTATGCTCCTGTCTATTTTCCTGAATAGGATTCAATTTCCACTTTATGCCTCTCACTGCTTTTACTTTGCCGTTTAGCCATAGGCATTTTTGGTCCCCTTGTTTTTTAATTTAGGAGTGTGCATGCCAATGGAGCCTCTATTACATGTCTTCAGAAGTTTGCATGCAGCTTGCATGGCTTCCTGTATAGTCATCTTGCTCCAGAGGTGGCTGCATTTCAATGCCAAGCAAGGGGTCCCTGTGTAACCAGCCACACCCCTCCCCCAGAGGTGGTCACATCTTGGTGCTGGGCAAGGGGGCTCCTGAATAAACAGCAGCCTGGAAAAAGAAGGATTCCAAAAGACAGATGCATTGTCCTAGACAGTGGAGAGAAGCCAGGCTCATATGGAAAGTCCAGGACAAACTCCAGCCCTGCTACTAAAGAAACTCAGTATCTGTCTGCTTGGTGCTCAGGAGAACCTTGACCCAGTGGGTTAGGGAAGGGGAACGGGAACTGGTGAATTGGGGGGCACGGGTGGAGAACCAGGACTCCTGGGTTCCATTGCTAGGTGTGTCCTATACTTGAATTGATCCTTTTTCTTGCTTCACCCCTATCTTCTACAAATCAACTACTGGGAGGTTTTGCACAATCTTTAGGGAAATATCTGTTAATCATCCAGCTCCACAACTGATAATATTTACCCTCTCTGGCTCCCTGCCCCCACAGAGACCTGTTAAATTCCACCAGCAAAAACTCTACTTTCAGACTGTTTTGCCTTGAGGCACTTTGAACCTTTGTCCTGCCTGTGTGGGAGGGGGGAGGAGGGAGCGGGGAAGAGGACAGGGGCACACACAGGGGAATTTCAGTTGCTTCCAAGGTGAATCTTCAGTCACCTTCTTCTCATGCTCTGGTTTGGGTGCCCATGGGCTCAGAAACATGCTAGAGGAATTCACAGACCACACCAGTTTATCACATTTTTAATCTCCCTCCATTCCCAAAGTATCTCTGGTCAAGAAAAGGCAGCACTAGCAACCGCCGCTTTTGTCCTCCCTTAGAACTGTAATATTGCTAAACAAGGGCCCCTCTTTTAAATCAGCAAATCCTACATTTTGGTGGTTAAACTACACCATATATGGTCCACCATCTTTTCCTCCACTGCACCTAATTACACAGTGACATCTAGCTACACAAAATTCACACATTTGTCTAGATGGCATTTACGTCTGTAAAGACTTGGACTTTTCAGCTTAGAGAAAAGGAGACGCCGGGTGTGTGTGTGTAGGATACAGATCTATAAAATCATGACTGGTGTGGAAAAAGTGAATAAGGAAAAGTTATTTACTTATTCCCACAATATAAGAACCCAGGATCACCAAATGAAATTAATAGGAAGCAGGTTTAAAATAAACAAAAGGACATTTTTCTTCACTCAATGCAGTCAACCTGTGGAACTCCTTGCCAGAGGATGTTGTGAAGACTAGGACTTTAACAGGGTTCAAAAAAAGAGCTAGACTGATTCATGGAAGTTAGGTCCATCAATGGGTATTAGTCAGGATAGAAGAATGGTGTCCCTAGCCTCTGTTTGTCTGGAAGCAGATGACAGAAGAGGGATCATGTGAAGATTACAGGTTGTGCTCCCTCCCTCTGGGACATCTAGTATTGGCCAATGTTGGCAAATAGGCTACTGGGCTAGATGGACCATTTTTTGGTCTGACCCAGTATGGCTGTTCTTACGTGACTGCATTTCTGGGCTGCAGGACCTCAAAAACACCCCAACGGTAGAGAGGAAAGCTGGGTGTTAGTTTCCTGACAGCCATTCATAGCAGCAAGAAGGTAAATTGAGGCAGGGGCCTTTTATTTCCTATTTGCACAAAGCTGCCATTAAGGAGTCATTGCTATGTTCTTCTCACTGAACACAGCATCCCATGATCCCTTCATGATTTTTTTCTTTGTTTTAGACCCAGATCCAGCTCTAGTTTCAACATCTGGCCAGTAGTTCATGTTAGGTCATAGGCTGCCAGATTGGAGCTTGTTTGGATGTAATTTCTGGCCCTCGTGGAAGTCTTTAGCAACTGGGACCTAGCTACCCCTCAACCTTTTTCTTTGCTAAATTAAAAACAGGAGCTCTGGGATTTTCTGTCTGGCTCTTCTGAGCTCTCTTGCCCCTTCCTCAGTGTCCTTCTGAAATTAAGGACCCAGGTTTCTGGGAGGTTGGAATTGGAGACCAGAGCCCCTCTGAAGCTCTGACAGAGAACCCAGGAAGTTGAGGACAGCTGAGTGTTCTATGTAGAGATACGAAAGGGGGTGGGAAGGCAGGTGAAGCTCTAGGTCTCCACATGCAGCTGGAATTTATGACCTGACACTTTCTTCACCAGGAACTTAGCCAGGTTCTGGAATTCCTTCTACAGCTCAGAAGGTATAAATGGGGAATTGGGCCCAGTGAGGGGAGGGGAAACCCCAGGCTGGGATAATTGACTGATGGGCACCAACAGAGCCATGTCCCACATGGCTCATTCCCCTGCTTCATCCAGCCACTGGCTGCCACCATCCCCTTTGTCATGCCGGCTCCTGGAGATCTTGGCTTCTGGCTGGCCAGTCTCTGTTCTGGGGGCAGGAGAGTTCTCCAGAGGCCAGTATCACTGTGGCTGGCTCCACCCCAGCTTCCACCTGGCAGGAAGGAGTGGAAGAGCCCAGACAGGAAGAGAAGTTGGGCAAAGTGACCAAAACCAGGCTCCCTGCCAAAAGGAAAGCTCCAGCTGCCAGGAAAGAGGCCGTGTAGTCCCCAGTCATGTCCTTCAGCCAACCTGGAACAGAGAAAGGAAAGAGTTATCTAGAACACCACCAGGACAAAACAGGGTGATCTAGAACACATGGGCTACGTCTACACTGGCACGATTTTCCGAAAATACTTTTATCAGAAAACTTTTCCGTTAAAAGCATTTTCGGAAAAGCACGTCTAGATTTGCGGAAAAGCATCCTACCAGAGCACTTTTTGCAGAAAAGCGTCCGTGGCCAATGTAGACACGGTTTTCCGCAAAAAAGCCCCGATCGCCATTTTTGCGATCGGGGCTTTTTTGCGGAAAACAGTACTGTGCTGTCTACTGTCTACTTTTTTGCGGAAAACAGTACTGTGCTGTCTACTTTGCGCAAAAATTTTTCGGAAAAAGACTTTTACCCGAATGGGAGCAGCATAGTATTTCCGGAAAAGCACTGACGATCTTACATGAGATCATCAGTGCTTTTGCGGAAATTCAAGCAGCCAGTGTAGACAGCTGGCAAGTTTTTCCGCAATAGCAGATGATTTTGCGGAAAAGCTTGCCAGTCTAGACACAGCCATGGAGAACACAGAGCAACCTAGAACATAAAAGGTGGCCCAGAATGTCACAAAAGCCCAGGGTGGCCTAGATTACTGCGAGGTCTAGTGGGTTGGAGCAGGGGGAACTAGGAGCCATAACTGTTGGGTTTCATCCCCATCTCTAGGCCTGTCCTTAGGGGCTACCAAAAAGGATTGGAGAGGCAACTAACATCAATCAGGATGCTATTGATGTGTCAAACACTGGTCCCAGGACCAGGGTGGGGCCAGGGAATCTTGACTCCAAGAAGCACCAAGTCTATGGCTTAAGCTGAGAGAAAAATGGGTAGGGTTGGAGACTGATTTACAGGGGTACAGGAGCTGGTTTCCAATGAATTTCATGGGAAGAAAAGGAAGGCAGCCTCAATCTACCAGAGAATGGTGCTCCCAGAAGCCCGCCAATGCTCTCCATCATCTGCAGCAGCCCCAGCGAGCTGAAGATCCTTCCAATGCCCACGATCTCCGGCAGGATGGAAAAGACCACAGGGGTGAGCGCCCCAGAGAAGCAGCCCTAGCAGATGCTGATGGCCATCAGGACCGGGTAGCTATGCCCCAGGGGCACCAAGGCCAAGGAGATGCCAGTCAGGGAAGTCCAGGCTACCAAGATGTGGACGAGGCGGAAAGCCCGACAGTCAGCAAGCCAACCTGAGAGGAGGCGGCCACACAGGTCAGCCACGCCAGCCACAGACATAAGGAAGGCAGCTTGGTATTCATCATAGCGCAGCTCTCGAGCCTGGGCCACCAGATGGACATAGGGAATAAAATAGCCGGTGTTGATCAAGGTCACGGCCAGGACAAACCTCATGAAAGGCCAGTGGGAGAGCAAAGGCAGGTCAAAGAGGGTGGAAAGTTTCTCCAGACAGTTCTCATTAAGGTTCACAGGTCTGGCCAGGTCTTCCTTGAGGGTCAGGGGGCGGATGAGAGCCCCACACACCCCCAGCTTGAATGGACATAGGGAATAAAATAGCCGGTGTTGATCAAGGTCACGGCCAGGACAAACCTCATGAAAGGCCAGTGGGAGAGCAAAGGCAGGTCAAAGAGGGTGGAAAGTTTCTCCAGACAGTTCTCATTAAGGTTCACAGGTCTGGCCAGGTCTTCCTTGAGGGTCAGGGGGCGGATGAGAGCCCCACACACCCCCAGCTTGAAGGACACCTGTAGCGAAGGTCCGGCGCTTCTTGAAGTAACGGGAGACAGAGGCCACAGAAGGTGTGACAACCAAGGCCCACCCGAAGCCTGCCAAAAGGAGGGGAAGGGGTATACATAAAATACATAAGTTGGGGCTGCACTTGGCTGGAAAGAGCCCTCCCCCACCTTCCTGTGCCCCCCACCCCCGGGGTTGTATGGTGTTGGCAACTGGCAACACCCACCTTTGCCTTGTTTTTTCCAAAATGGCTGCCATGCAGCAGCCATTTTAAGTGAAGCCCAGTTTCTTCCTTCTCAGCTTAAATGATTATGCCCTCCCCAACAGCATGGCCCCTGCACCACCATAAAGTGATGGCCATTTTGAAGGAGGTGGCCATTTTGAATTTTGCTCCGCTCCTTCTCCCTTTCAAGGGGTGGACATTTTTAATAAGGTCCCTTTTCTTTCGATGCCTCCCCCATGGTGCCTTTCAGTGACACCCATTTTGACAAGATCCCACTCGTTCCCTCTGTGGCCCCACAGTTCCTCCCATAATAGCAGCCATTTTTGACACAGTCTGGTTCCTTCCCTGGGTTCTTTAGTTCTCCCTCTCCTCCCGCCAGCCCCCACCACCTTAGAAACCCTCGCTTGAACCCCACTGATATGTCTCCCTTCCCCCACGTTCTACCCCTGCACAAAGATATAGCTGTGCCAGTTGTCATTTTGGGTCACATTTGGTATGATTAGCGTCTGAACAGGGCTGACTTTTTTGGGACAAGGAAGAATGGGGCATTTGAAGATCATGTGATTGTGTTCTTCAGTGGCATGGGAACATTTTTAAGAGTGGGGTGCAGTGTTCCCGGGCATTTAGGCAGCCACCCAACAGAGTCAGGTGCTGCTCAGCTGATTATCAGAGTGCCCAAGGCATAGTTTTCTATTTGTGGTGCACATCCACATATGCCTTTGTGCACATAACACAATTTATTCTGCACACAGATGAAAAAACATTAGAGAGCACAATGTTGAGGGGTCTGATGTCCTCTCCCCCCTTTCCTCCTGTCCCTTTTCCCCCCACAGCTGAGCCTGGGAGCAGAGCCCAGGGTGTGTGAGGCCAGCAGACAGAGAAGTATAAACCACTGTGTGTAGGAAATTTTAGCTAGTATCTACTAGGGATGTAATAGTGTAGTCATTTAACCAATGAACTGATAAGCAAAAGCTTATAGGTTAATGCTATAGATTACACGCACACACATACTCTCTTCTCCCCTTGTCAGCAAATTTATTATCAGGTTGGCCAGCAGCCTGGCTCAGTCCCAGCTTGTGCAGGGTCCATGACCTACCCCTGCTGCGATTCTGCATTTGAAGTGTATTAGAAGCTGGTGGGCAGGCAGCCCGGCTCAGTTCCAGCTTGTGCTGGGTCTGGGAGCTCAGGCACCCTGCCCCCGACAGGGGCTGCTGCCACTCCACACTGCTGCCTCTGTATCAGAGGAAGCAGCATGGGGCAACAGGCAGCTGGTCCACAAGGGGAGCCGGTTTTTTAAACTGGCTCCCCTTGCAGATCAGCTCCCGCCTGGCAGCCCAGGCTGCTGCCTCTGATACAGATGCAGCAGCACAGAGTGGCAGGGGGCCCCCTCGGGAGTGGGGCCAGAACACACTGGCTGCCAGCCCCCACCCCCGGGAGTACAGAATAGTAGAGTAACCAAGAATCATCCATGAGGTTAAACGACTATTCAATTAACCAATATTTAATATCCCTAGTGCCTACTTGGCAGTGCATTTTATGTCGCCTGTTGTCAAGCTAGGCAAGGCTCTAGAGGAGTTCATGGACCCAGGGCTATCCATGGATGGAGCAAGAGTCTGGGACAAACCCCTCACATCACTCCAACCGCTGCCCCCACCTTTTCCTGCCCTTGCTGCGCCCCATCTCATTCTGCCTCCACTCCTTCCTTCAAGCTCCCACCCTGCCCCGCCTCTTCCCTCCCCACCCCCAGTCCATCCACTCGCCCGCCCTCCTGCCCCAAGTCAGGGACCTGTGGCAGGGGTCAGGCCCCCCAGCACTCACCACTAGCAGCATAAAGTGGAGCAATCCGGCCCCAGCCCACTCCACTCCCCCAAACCGGTGAATGCGGGAGGCAGTTCCACCCTTTCCCAACCCCCTCCCTTGAGCAACAGTGGATTAACAGGGGTCTGTGGCCGGCAGCAGGGGTCAGGCCCTCTTGCGCTCACCGGTAGCAGAGGAAAGCGGAGTGACATGGTTGGGAATTGGGGCTTGGAGCACATGGGGCGGGGTCGCTCTGCTTCCTGGGGCTGCCAGTGAGTGTGGCGGGGGCCCCCTGACAGCACCAGGCCCCACCTCAGTAGGCATCTGAGGTGCTCAGGGCCCAGAGCGGCCATCCCACCACTGTCCTAGAGCTAGTACATCCTGAGCTGTCCTCCTGGAAGACTTCTGCATGTCCCTGGATCAGAACCACTGCTCTAGCATCCGGGAAACACGTTCAAGGGAGAAAACTGGGCAGGCGGACAGATGGCAGAGCAGGAAGAGGGGAAAAAAAAAAAAAAGTCCAATCATTTCTTCTCCATGTAATAACCAAACCCAAGGAAAGCAAAAAGGAATTTCACCCATGCGTAAGTGGGATGATCCCGTCAGTGTGAGCCCAAGGGGGTAGGGCAGAACAGCACCTATTACCCACGCCTCCCAGTGGCTACTGATGCCTTCTCCATTAAGCCACTGGCATTCTGAAAAATCACCGCAGTAACATCAGAGCATTTGGCAGGTGGAAGTCCCCACAGCAAGTATCAGGCAATCTCCCCCAGGACTCAGCCAACACTGGCACTAAAAAGACGCCCAAGTCTGCCAGCTTCCCGCCTAGCACCCTTGCTGCTTAGGAGAGGCTCTGGGGTTGCAAGACCTGCTTCACACCTTGCTAATTCCATCCTTAATGCAATGCACAGTGGAGGTTATCCAAAAACCTCTGCACCTTAGGCAGCTATAAGCCAGACTTTTGGAAACCCCATGGTGCACTGGTTTACCCAGAAGTCTTTGCTCCGAGTCTTGAGCAAGAACACTCCTGGGGGGGGCAACTGAGGCAGGGGGCTCAGGATGGGACCTACCTGAAAGCAGCCCGATGCTGAGGTACAGGTGAGTCAGGCAGGTGGCGAAGGAAGCCAGGAGCATGCCCAGCCCTGAGAGGAAGCCCCCGGTCATCACCACAGGGCGTGCGCCGTACTGGGTGCTGAGGGCACTGCCCACTGGACCTGCAAAAGATGACAGAGAAACACCAGACAGATTCCCATTACCCAGTAATTCAGACTTTGGGGGAGGTGTGGGGTTCTTCTCCCACCTCCAAACTCACTTGCAAACTGCTGCACGGCAATCCCGATGGAGGTGATCCAGGACACCCGCCAAGACAACTCCCCGAAGTACCCTACAAACTCCATGAAGAAAACACCGAAGGAGCGGATCACCCCAAACACCAGCGCGGACTGGAAAAAGGCTGCCAGAACCACCATCCAGCCCCAGCCCCCATCGGGGGGTTCAGGATGCACCACCAGCATGGGGCTCACTGTTGGAGAGAGGGATGTTAGAAATGGCTCTGTTGTCCTGGAGTACAGCTTCTCTGGTCCCAGCAGGGGGCGCTATTGGAAGCGGGGAAATGGGGGCAACCCCTAGCTCCGCCAGTCCCAGCCTCTCCCAGCAGAGGGTACTGTGGGGCACAGGGCAGGGGAGTTGACAGTGGAGGGTACTTCCCAGTTCCTCTGGTCACAGCATCCCCCAGCAGAAGGTGCTGTGGAGTATGGGTCAGGAGCCCCAGCCATCAGATGTACAACAAGACCCATTTTTCTCTCTTTTCTCTTGGGCCAGGGAGGCAGGAGGAAAAAAAAAAAAAACCAAGCCTTGAATAACCCGGCCCCCCCCCCCCACCCAAAAAAATTCCCTCCACCCCCTTCCCAGACTCTGCTCCATGCCCAGGGCTCCCCTACTGTCGATCCTCCTGGAAGGAAGACCAGATTCCACTCCAATGCTCGGCAGGCTAAGACCTGGAATGGGCAGCACTCAGAAAAGGGGGCATGGCGCAACTAGCTATAAACCATGTCCAAACTAGTGGTCCCTGTAAGCTGTGTGGTTGGGCAGATGCCCAGGAGAGATTCAAATGCTGCCATGCTGATTAGCAGAGCACCCACAGCCAGCAACATGTGTTTCACTGGTGGTGCACATCTGCACATGCCTTGGTGCACATAATAAAATTTATTCTGCTCATCTATATGAGGAAAAAAAAATTCCTGCAGGACAAGAGTAACGTCATCATGTCATCTGCATCCTCATGTCACTGCCATCACCACCCATTGTCACTCTGAGCTGGCTTGCTCCAGCTCTGCTTCACACCCTGGGAGGCTGTGCTACGGGGAAGGAACTGCTGGGGCTGGGTCCCCTCCACCATCTGAGCCCAAGCCCCCTGCCCCCAGGCCTCCCCTCATCCCCTCCACCATCTGAGCCTGACATCCCTAGCCCCATCATCCCTTCTGCCAAGGCCCTACATCCCCAGGCTGCTCCTGCCCCCTGGCCAGACACCTACCCCCAGAGAGAGGGGGGTTGGCGAGCATAGCAAGCAGAGGCACAGCTCCCTAGTGGATGGGGAAAAAAAAGTATCGAGGGAAAATTGACTATTACTCACTTTGGGAAATTGCTCTGATTTCTAATGCTTGCCATTAGAAAAAACACACCTTTCCAGGAGAGACAGGTTAGCATTAGCATGGCTCTACAAGACATTGGTGAGACCTCACCTGGAATGCGGCCTCCTACGTTCGAGACAAATGAATTCAGATGAGACTAGGTGCAAAGGGCGACTAGGATGAGCCATGAAATAGGTGCAAAGGGCGACTAGGATGAGCCATGAAATAGAACCTTGTACATGGAGATTTAAGGAGTTTGCAGCTTAACAAAACAGAGGCCATAGGGAGAGATGAGTGCCCTCTACAAATACAACAGTAGGGAAGGGAGAGAAGTTATTCAAATGAAGGCCCAATAAGGGCACAAGGGTATGAACAGGCTTTCAAACTTAGGATTGAAATCAGAGGAAGGTTTCTAACCAAGAGAGGAACCAAAGGGAACAGGGGAGGCAAAAAACCCCTAACTTGTTTTAAGACTAAACTGGATACATTTATAGAGGAGACGGTGTGATGAGATTGCCTACAACAGCCTATGGCCAGATACCGCCAACAGTTGACGATAGGACACAGGATGGGGAGGGCTCTGAGTTACTTATGAAAATTTTTTCCTGGGTGTCTTGTCCACGTGCTCATGATGAGTTTTCCCCAAGGTCGGATCAGCAAACACCCTGAAGGTTTTTTCTATCTTTCTCCACAGTGTGGAGCTTGGGTCACTTGCTGGTTTGAAGTAAATGGTGGATTCTCAGTAACTCAGACTTTAAATCAATATTTGACTGAGCCAGAGGTGAGAAAGTGGTAGTCCATCCAGGCCATAAGGTGTTTCACAACCTATCCCCACCTGATTACCACGTCTCATTCTCCTACCCGCACCTGTCCCATGATCTGTGGATTCTAAGTCCTGTGGTCTTCTCATCAGAGCTCCTATATAACCTGGTGTAACAAAGTGGGGGTTGAATTCACTCTGTTTGCTTTATGTTGCATGTAAATTTCTACTGTCCTGTAATAACCCCAGGTGTATGCCGGTTTCCTTGGGCACTGCACCAATCCCTAGATGTGATGGAAGTTTGGGCATGACAACCTTCCCCATGTACACAATGGCAGATGCTTTCTAGAACCTGAGCCTAGAAAGGCATGTGCACGTAACCAGGTGACACCTTTTGCCTGGGAAGCTGGACAGAGGCTGGAGGTGGGGCTGTGTGCAGGGCTGGAGCTGGCTTCTGGGTGTGTGAGTTAGTCTCACCGGCTTGGGGAGCATAGGACCCATGGCTCTAAGTCCCCTCACTCTCGGGTGGATTGTACTGACTGCTTGGTGCATATACAAATTTTATTCTGCACATGGATGGAAAAAATCCATATATAGATGGAAAAGATTAGAGGGAACACTGGATGTCACCATGGTTGAAGTGGGTGGGAAAGGACCACTGCCCAGATAGGTTCTCAGCCCCAGCTGCCCACCTCATGCCCAGGGCTCTATACGTGGCAGTGGTCCCTGGCCAAGGGTCTGGTCCCACCTCTAGCTGCAGGATTGGGGGCAGAAAAGATTAAGAGAGTGAGAGGTAAAAAGGTTGGGGACCTCTGGTCTAGATAATACTTAGTCTTGCCATGAGTGCAGGGGACCACAGGGGACCAGACTAGAAGGGAAACTGTTGTAATTAAAGGCTTTCTTAATGCCTTGCATTTCAAACCCTTTAACCAGGTTGCCTTCTGCTCTGGTACCTTGAATAAGAGTTTATCCATATGTGGAAATGAGAACAATTTTAGACTGGCACAAAGTGGTCTAAGACGGATCAGAACGAGGCCCTTAATTCTGAGTCTCCAAGACATTCTGGAGTAGCTCCGGCACTTAGAGGTTTAGCTGATGGATTTTCGTTCACACTTTCATTCCTTGCTTCCCGCCCTCCACATGGCCTGATTCTACTTTCCTGTTACCTGGCTCATCTTTGCACAATGCAAAATCCACTTTCAGCACAGATTTAAGGGCACACCGCTCTTACTCCAAATTAGCTTCCCTGTGCAGAAAGACCCCTTAAGAGGATCAGAAGTCACCTTGCAGTGACCATTAAGGGTACAGCTATGCTACAGAACAAGGTCAAATTAAGATATGCAACTTCAGATAGCTGAGGCTGAAGTAGCTTAAGTTGACTTTTGGCAGTCTATGCTGCAGGAAGTCAAAGGGAGAACACTCTTCCTTTGACTTTCCTTACTCCTTGTGAAAGCAGGGTTATCAGCATGGACCAGAGCGCCCCCCTCACTTTGAATTAGCTGTCTTAACTAGACCAATTCAATCCCTTGAAGATCCACAGCAGCCATGTCTATCTTCCTCTTTAGTGCAGATTAGGGCTGTGAACTAGTCATTCCACCCCCCCTTGTTGCCTCTATCAAAAAGAGGCAGTGGGGGGGTAGAGGAAGGAGGTTCTTCACAGTGGCAGTGCAGTGTGGAGCCTGGGGCCAGACTCCAGGCTCTAGAAGGCACTGCAACTTTAACATGCTTCATGCAGTCCAGGGCCAGCTGGGACTCCCCTTTGACCCAGGGTTCCATGGGGTGCTGCAGGCACAGCTCCCTAGTGGATGGGGAAAAAAAAGTATCGAGGGAAAATTGACTATTACTCACTTTGGGAAATTGCTCTGATTTCTAATGCTTGCCATTAGAAAAAACACACCTTTCCAGGAGAGACAGGTTAGCATTAGCATGGCTCTACAAGACATTGGTGAGACCTCACCTGGAATGCGGCCTCCTACGTTCGAGACAAATGAATTCAGATGAGACTAGGTGCAAAGGGCGACTAGGATGAGCCATGAAATAGGTGCAAAGGGCGACTAGGATGAGCCATGAAATAGAACCTTGTACATGGAGATTTAAGGAGTTTGCAGCTTAACAAAACAGAGGCCATAGGGAGAGATGAGTGCCCTCTACAAATACAACAGTAGGGAAGGGAGAGAAGTTATTCAAATGAAGGCCCAATAAGGGCACAAGGGTATGAACAGGCTTTCAAACTTAGGATTGAAATCAGAGGAAGGTTTCTAACCAAGAGAGGAACCAAAGGGAACAGGGGAGGCAAAAAACCCCTAACTTGTTTTAAGACTAAACTGGATACATTTATAGAGGAGACGGTGTGATGAGATTGCCTACAACAGCCTATGGCCAGATACCGCCAACAGTTGACGATAGGACACAGGATGGGGAGGGCTCTGAGTTACTTATGAAAATTTTTTCCTGGGTGTCTTGTCCACGTGCTCATGATGAGTTTTCCCCAAGGTCGGATCAGCAAACACCCTGAAGGTTTTTTCTATCTTTCTCCACAGTGTGGAGCTTGGGTCACTTGCTGGTTTGAAGTAAATGGTGGATTCTCAGTAACTCAGACTTTAAATCAATATTTGACTGAGCCAGAGGTGAGAAAGTGGTAGTCCATCCAGGCCATAAGGTGTTTCACAACCTATCCCCACCTGATTACCACGTCTCATTCTCCTACCCGCACCTGTCCCATGATCTGTGGATTCTAAGTCCTGTGGTCTTCTCATCAGAGCTCCTATATAACCTGGTGTAACAAAGTGGGGGTTGAATTCACTCTGTTTGCTTTATGTTGCATGTAAATTTCTACTGTCCTGTAATAACCCCAGGTGTATGCCGGTTTCCTTGGGCACTGCACCAATCCCTAGATGTGATGGAAGTTTGGGCATGACAACCTTCCCCATGTACACAATGGCAGATGCTTTCTAGAACCTGAGCCTAGAAAGGCATGTGCACGTAACCAGGTGACACCTTTTGCCTGGGAAGCTGGACAGAGGCTGGAGGTGGGGCTGTGTGCAGGGCTGGAGCTGGCTTCTGGGTGTGTGAGTTAGTCTCACCGGCTTGGGGAGCATAGGACCCATGGCTCTAAGTCCCCTCACTCTCGGGTGGATTGTACTGACTGCTTGGTGCATATACAAATTTTATTCTGCACATGGATGGAAAAAATCCATATATAGATGGAAAAGATTAGAGGGAACACTGGATGTCACCATGGTTGAAGTGGGTGGGAAAGGACCACTGCCCAGATAGGTTCTCAGCCCCAGCTGCCCACCTCATGCCCAGGGCTCTATACGTGGCAGTGGTCCCTGGCCAAGGGTCTGGTCCCACCTCTAGCTGCAGGATTGGGGGCAGAAAAGATTAAGAGAGTGAGAGGTAAAAAGGTTGGGGACCTCTGGTCTAGATAATACTTAGTCTTGCCATGAGTGCAGGGGACCACAGGGGACCAGACTAGAAGGGAAACTGTTGTAATTAAAGGCTTTCTTAATGCCTTGCATTTCAAACCCTTTAACCAGGTTGCCTTCTGCTCTGGTACCTTGAATAAGAGTTTATCCATATGTGGAAATGAGAACAATTTTAGACTGGCACAAAGTGGTCTAAGACGGATCAGAACGAGGCCCTTAATTCTGAGTCTCCAAGACATTCTGGAGTAGCTCCGGCACTTAGAGGTTTAGCTGATGGATTTTCGTTCACACTTTCATTCCTTGCTTCCCGCCCTCCACATGGCCTGATTCTACTTTCCTGTTACCTGGCTCATCTTTGCACAATGCAAAATCCACTTTCAGCACAGATTTAAGGGCACACCGCTCTTACTCCAAATTAGCTTCCCTGTGCAGAAAGACCCCTTAAGAGGATCAGAAGTCACCTTGCAGTGACCATTAAGGGTACAGCTATGCTACAGAACAAGGTCAAATTAAGATATGCAACTTCAGATAGCTGAGGCTGAAGTAGCTTAAGTTGACTTTTGGCAGTCTATGCTGCAGGAAGTCAAAGGGAGAACACTCTTCCTTTGACTTTCCTTACTCCTTGTGAAAGCAGGGTTATCAGCATGGACCAGAGCGCCCCCCTCACTTTGAATTAGCTGTCTTAACTAGACCAATTCAATCCCTTGAAGATCCACAGCAGCCATGTCTATCTTCCTCTTTAGTGCAGATTAGGGCTGTGAACTAGTCATTCCACCCCCCCTTGTTGCCTCTATCAAAAAGAGGCAGTGGGGGGGTAGAGGAAGGAGGTTCTTCACAGTGGCAGTGCAGTGTGGAGCCTGGGGCCAGACTCCAGGCTCTAGAAGGCACTGCAACTTTAACATGCTTCATGCAGTCCAGGGCCAGCTGGGACTCCCCTTTGACCCAGGGTTCCATGGGGTGCTGCTGCTTTGAAATGCATCAACTATTCAATTAGTCAATTACTCAAAATGTAACATCCCTAGTAGCAGACATAACCTAAGAGCAAATCAGCAATAACCTGACCCCCTCAGACCCACAAGCATGCTTAACTGTTTAATCTTGCAACCAGAGTGTTATTAACATCTTAGTTTCAAACACAGAACCTCTCTTGGCAAGCACAAGGCAGCCTCTTAGCTCCCCCCAGAGGCCTCCTCTGTGCAGCCTCATAGCCCCTCCAGACTTCACGTCTCCCTTGCTGCCCTCACCAGAAGTGACTTGCCCCAGAATCAGCTGCATGGAGCTACTGGGACATAGTGGAGAGAGCGGGGATAAGGGACCCCAGCCAACACTCATACACTGCTGCTGGGGGAGGGGATGGGGATTAATGTATGGCCTTCCCCTCCCCCACAGACACAGTAGGGCTGTGGCCATAGTCAAAGTCTATCTAACGGCAGCAGGAAACCAGAGATCCAAATAGCATTTCCTCCCTTTCCCCAGGCCAGGACGTAGGCGACCTTCCCCGCCAGAGGGTGGACGTTACACCTGTAGATCAGCCTGGTCTCCGATCCGCCCCCCCGCCCCGCTCCTTACCTGACCGAGCATCTCACCGGTCTTCGCTACTCGCCCGAGAAAGCCAGGGCAATAACCCCTCCCCCACTTCAGCAATCCCCACAATAGCATTTCCTCCCTTTCCCCAGGCCAGGACGTAGGCGACCTTCCCCGCCAGAGGGTGGACGTTACACCTGTAGATCAGCCTGGTCTCCGATCCGCCCCCCCGCCCCGCTCCTTACCTGACCGAGCATCTCACCGGTCTTCGCTACTCGCCCGAGAAAGCCAGGGCAATAACCCCTCCCCCACTTCAGCAATCCCCACCTGATTCTTACAAAATTCCAAAAGGGGCGGGGCGAAGCGGCCGCGCGGAGCCCAGACCACTGCTGGAGGGACATGCCACGCCCCTTTCGCGCCACGTCTCCGCCCCCTCACCCCACTGGGACCGGCTGTTTGTGCGCAGGCGCGAACAGGTGCGCTGAGTTAGGCACAATTTGCAGGCACGCTTCCTTCCCCCCCCTCCCCCCCCCCCACGCCAACGGTGCTGAGGAGGGATGGTTTGGGGGCTATGGGGCTGCACAGAGAGGGGGATGGGGCTCTAAGGAGCAACAGAAGTGAGACTGGGGGCAAGGGTCCGTGCAGAGGGGGAAAGGCAAGGCTGGGGCTGCACAGAGAGGACAGCTGGGGGCTGCCATATGCCCTGAACAGCGGGGGCTTCTGGGGACCTGGAGATGCCCCCTACTGAAGTCCATCTCCCCATGGTGAGGCAGTACCTGACTGGTATTGTTCAGCCTGTTCTCACAAGCCTCCAGTGACCTCCCTTGGGCAACAGACCCAACACCCCCATCTCCCAGGAACGCAAGACTGATTTTCTCCTCCGTCTCCCTTTGCTGCGGACGGAACCAACCCCACCTTACCTGCCCCTTGTGTTAGAAAAAAAATTGCTCACCCAGTAAAAAAAGTTTGGCCAGGCCGCTCTTGCTATAGTGGGCTGCAGTACGCCTTGGGAGAAACCTGCCGCACCCTTCCTGCATACCATTGCCTTTAGAAAAAGGGAAGGTGTGAAAAGGGGAAAATAGCCTCAGACTCTCCCACCCATCACCTTGGCTTGAGAACTGCAGGGGGGGGGGACTTACCTGGTCTCATGAAACCTGCACAATTTCAGCCCAACCCCTGGGACACAGACCCCCCCCCCCCCCCCCCTGGCGCGGCAAGCACGGGAAAGCGATGTGCGGGTTTGGGGATAAATACCCATCACACAGTTGGCTCTAGGAGGTCTTCGCAACACACGTACCACCGTGCGTGTGCCTTCCCGAATACTTCAAAGCGCTGCTGGCCTGATCAACTGACCAGCATATTGGGAAGCATTATGAAAGGGCTAGAGAATAAGATAAATGGTATTGCGTCTATATAAATCCATGGCATGCCCACATCTTGAATACTGAGTGCAGATGTGGTTGCTGCATCTCAAAAATGATATATTAGAATTAGAAAAGGTTCAGAAAAAGGCAAGAAAAATGATAAAGTGTATGGAACAGCTACCATATGAGGAAAGATCAATGGGACTTTTCAGCTTGGAAAAGAGAGAACTATATGATATAATATATGACAGAGGTCTATAAAATCATGACTGATGTAGAGAAAATGAATAAAGAAGTTTTTGGTCCTCCTCCACTCGCCTGACAATTGCTGACGTTAGATTTTTGTTGTCTTATTCTGCCCTTACAAAAACTTTCGTCTGCTCCATTTGGGGTAATCAGCACTTTGTTGCATACTGCTGTCTGAGTTACTTGCTTCTCTAAAAGCGGGGTTATTGTTGGTCATCAAAAATAAAAACAAAATTTGATTGCTCTCCTGTATCTCACATTGCTGCCTTTCCTTTACATCTACAATTAAACTGGTGCTCATTTGACATATTCTGGGTAGGCCTCAATACCTTCCATTCAAATCCTCCTGTGTTAAATGAGACACTTTAATTACAATAACTTTATTTCCCTCTGTGCTTATGCATTTGCTATTTGCTCATTTTCTATTTGTTTTCTTTTGGGTATTGTTTAGCACTTGGTAATGGCCCCCTGCCCCCAGGCCTCCCCTCATCCCCTCCACCATCTGAGCCTGACATCCCTAGCCCCATCATCCCTTCTGCCAAGGCCCTACATCCCCAGGCTGCTCCTGCCCCCTGGCCAGACACCTACCCCCAGAGAGAGGGGGGTTGGCGAGCATAGCAAGCAGAGGCACAGCTCCCTAGTGGATGGGGAAAAAAAAGTATCGAGGGAAAATTGACTATTACTCACTTTGGGAAATTGCTCTGATTTCTAATGCTTGCCATTAGAAAAAACACACCTTTCCAGGAGAGACAGGTTAGCATTAGCATGGCTCTACAAGACATTGGTGAGACCTCACCTGGAATGCGGCCAGTCAGGATTGTATCTTTCTTTATGGCTAGGGCAGTGGTCCCCAACCTTTAGAGGCTCCCGGGGCCACTCACGCGCTGGGCGCCCGGGGGCGGGGCCACGCGTCCAGGGGCACGCCAGGGGATGGGGATGCCCTTGCACCCGGTGCCTGCCTGTGCCCCAGGGCCGGGGCTGGAGCCGCCT